CCACACTTTATAATTTGTATAAATTTATAGGTATTTATTTATAAACAATCATTATAAATTAAAGTAGCCATAATTATTCTTTCAATTGCTAAAAATGCTTTTAATATGTATTATTATTAATTATTTATGTTATTATATACATATATAAATAAATAACCTTTCCAATATTTAGGGCCAGCTGACTTTTTAAAGTTATTAAATGTTGTCATAAATACAGGACATATGAGAAATTAGGAAAATCAACCCAACTCGATTGACATAAAGGTAAATATTAACAAAACATAACCGTCATGTTCATATTTTATATTTTTATAGCAGAGAAAAGAACAATATCCTAAATACATAATATATAATGTCAACGTTTATAGATATTTTTAACGGGCATGTAGATACACTAGATACACTAATTAAATCATAATGACATAATTGATATATTTACTGTCATCAAATTTACAAGTGTATATTGTTATTCATGATATATCACTTCGTCTTACAGAACGAACAATAACAATTTTATATTTGTGTAAATTAAAAATATTATTATAATTTATAATAATACGAGTAAACCATCATCTGCCAGACTGTGACAGTCACGTCGAATAATTTTATTAAATATAATTTAAACCGTTTAATGTGACAAGATGTCAAAGTAATTTTGTTTATTTGTTCATATATTTTAATAAAATAAGACTAAATCTTTTTATATCTTATTTTTAACCACATTCTAAAACTTAAATTCAATAAATATACAATATACATTACACAAGTTTTGGACCCGTTATTGGTGAATTGAATTTAAATAAATTATTGCATGCGAAAAATGATCCTGAGCGGCAACGGTGTTCCAGCCTTCTGTTATAAGGATTTATAATAATTTATTTATATTATTGATATTTTTCTTTTCAAAATTAAATTCTTAATAAGTTTCGGCTTAGAATTTTAAAGAAACACTTTAAAATCTTGAATAATGAATAAACAAAATATCAATACATTCTGAACTGAAACTTTCAAATCAATTAAAAAACTCACTATGAATTGACTGAAGGACTAATATATATACATATAGGTATGTAAATTTAAAAATTTAATATTTTAATAAAATTTCAATACATAAATTAGGTACATATTTTTTAGTATGGCCCATACAATGTGGGTGACACATGTTTTAAGAAATGAAATTCAGGCAACTTAAATAAAAACAGATAAGCTTAACTACTCGTGTATTAAATTTTAAATGCATCAGCATACTGATTCAAATAATTATTTCCAAGTCCCCACATCGATAGGTACTATTGTTGATTGATACATAAGTACGAAATTATATTAAAAAATATTTTTTTTACACGTGAAAAAAACTGAGAAGGTTACTACAGCTATAGCACGCATATAAATACTAATTTACTTTAATAAAAAATGTTTACGATAAATAAAAAAGAACATTTACAAAAATAACATTTACTTGATATCATTAATATTAGATTTGTAATAATTGTTAATGCCATTTTTATTTTTTAAATGTAATTATATGAATACATTTATGTATAATTATTTTAAAACCCGTTATTTTTATGTTTTTTAAACAATGAACTAATAACCATACTTAGCTTATAAGTTATACATCGAAAATAAAGGGTTATTTAACCATAAGCACAGTTATAATAATCGAAATTATATAATTATTCATTAATATATGTTGGTCACAAATTTTCAATTAGGTATCTTAATTTTTATTACAGTTAGGTTCAAAAAATAACTTTATCGTCATTCTGAAACAAAAATCTAAAAAATGTATAAACACAATTTTTGTATAGGTGTTTAAAGTTTAAATTTGGACGAAATGAAATATTTATGCAAATAATAACGATTTTAATTATTTTCTTGTAATTTTATTTAAGAATACTTTTTCTGTGGATTTGAAACTTTTACGTCTATGACTATAATTTATATTAAATACAATGACTTTTTCAAAACATTTAAATACATATTAAGCAATTAGCTTAGATTAATAATTTTACCACGAACCTTTTCACGTCGTTTTATAATACATGATATAAATATAAACTATTATAATAATTAAATATTACCTATAGAGCCATAGAGGTATTAATTTCATAAATGCTATATTTTCGACAAGTATGAAAATCAACCGCTTATACTACTAATAATATAATTAATTATCTACTATGTTAGCAATACAAATATTGAAATATAATATGAAATATTTTTCTATGTTACATACCGTTTCCGCTCAGTATCGTTTTTCGTATACAATGCGATATATCGTTTAATTTGACACATCCATTACATTAACCAATAGGTGACCCACTCAACACTTCTTTAAGCAGTTAAACCGAGTTCACAGCTATGTCATCTGTCGTGTCGTGTCGTGTCGTGTCCAAAAGTTGAGCTCGGCCTAATTCACGGTAGATGATGATAATCAGTAATCACAATTAAAACTACCGTTCAAAATACAATACAAGAAACAGTACACGACGGACGATGTAGCTTACTATAAATCTGGCTTCAGGGTTGACGGTTTTTCGGTATACCATTTTATATCGGTAAATGTATGTAACACGGTAATAGCGATGAATCACGGTTATTGCTCATTAAATAATAAATAGGTACTGATTAAATAGTACCTATGCTGTCATACCGAAGTACCGATGTGCAGTTTAACACTAAACTAATACTGTATGATCAGTGATCACTATGCTATACATTAATTGACGCTACTGACGATATTTTGGTTTAACGGTTCTAATACTGCAATATACCGATATGTGATTTTAATACTGCCGATCACTTACATAGGTAGATACTGCAATACAGCAGAATGGTACCCACTTGAACGCCTTTTTTTTAAATTTAAAATCCTGTTTTTATTGAATAGGTATCAATTTTTTTGTTTGAACTACCCCCCAATTAATCACTTAAATGAAAGTTAAGCATAATCGTTCAAATAAGTTATGATAATTAAAATCAACCAATTCAATTATATGGAATCTTATTAAAATCTTATCAATTCATTTATATCCAAATCTATTTCATTAAATAGGTATTCTTATTAATTTAATAGGTAATCGTCGTAAACACTACTATGCTGTGAAATCAAGTATAGAATATATTACTCTTTGTATAATATTAATAATATACCTAATGGCTAATATCTATAGGTACCTAATAAAACAATTACCACAGACACGTATAATCTTTGATTCCTTAGCTAGCTTTAGGTCACAGATAAAATAAAAGATAGATAAAAATAATGGAATAAATATTAGAAAACAATAGACTAGTAGAGTAATCTGTTAAAATTAACTAATTTTCTCAATAATGGCAAACTTAGAAGATTTAATTTAGTGAATTTACCAGTTCGCTATTGATCTATAACACTCAAATACAAAAACCGCATTCCTCTATACAAATAAATGTTTAAAATAAAAAAAGGTGGTCAAGTTGGTGCCGCACTGCCGCTTTACTGTACATTAGATGCGAGTGAAACACTTTAATGAATGTGATAAATATGAATTCAATATCGTTTCTTGTGTACGATATTTCTAGACGAAATTTTTATAAAATAAATATACAATATACTTTTAATTTTTTTCATAAAAAAATACATTTATTACATCTTTAGTATTTAATAATTAATTATTACAATAATTTATATTTAAAGCTCACCTATTATATAATCTTTATAAACTTTCGAATTAATATCACCTTGACCTTACCCTAAATCAGTGTAAATAGTTCCATAGTATAATGTATCAAATTAATCTTCATATTTTAAAAATACTTATGCATATAAATTCATAATCATATACACAAGAGTTTTAAACTACCTTAAGGCTGTGAATTTTTTTTTTCTTGTTTAAAAAAATACATTAACATTCTTACTCATTGTTCAAATCTACATTTTAATCAAAAATCGAATTTCATATGAAGTTTTATAAGTATTTATCTGTAAAAAGTAATTGCTTGTATATTTTTAGACTTTTTTTTTAAAATGTTAATTAATATTATCAATAAGTTAGATGACCTTGCCAGAAACACTTTATGATAAAACAGATAAATAAATTAAATAAATAAAATATATATATAGATAAATAAAAAAAAATTTTTTTAATTCCATAATTAACTGCTTATGATGACATTGTACTAAATTTTCAAACCTAGGCTAGGTACAAAAATTGAAGATTTTACAGATTTGTAGTAATACTTATAGTTTGAAAATATTCGTGATTTTGGCAAAATTTTGTAAAACATAGAGCTATTAATGCATATAAAAAATATATGACTAATAGTCATTAAATGCATACATTTTGAATATTTATATTCAGATTTAAGAAACTTTAATGTATTAGATATTTTGTATTATATTTTCAAAACTTTTTGAACAAAAACTTTTTTATTGACAATTGAATATAACATGTAAAAAAAATTCAATTTTCTAAACATTCTAAATAAATAGTTCAAAAATAGTCAAAATATTTTAAAAATTATGCTATGAATAAAATATTAAAATATGATTACAAAAATTTCAAGTTTCATTTGTTTTTGAATCACACCAAAATGAAAACATTACTTTGTCAAATACTGGTTTTATGTAAAATTTCCAGTCCTCTTCCAACTGATTATCTGATTACCGAGAATTTTACTTTTGACCTACTTCCTCTTCGAACTACTAACTAAATCCACAATAATAATAATACGGTAATTTATTATTTTATTTCACATATTTCTATTATGTTCATAGTAGTATTAAATTTAAAAGCACATAAGTAAGTAAATCTACCAATAATATTAGACAAATACATAAAACAACAATTATTTATTTAACTATTTAATGGGCATAATGCCTAGTAGAACAATAAGACAGTATATACAGTAATAATTGCATAATAGATAGCAATTAAATAATATAATACAATTTAGAATTAACAACAATTAAAGAAAAACAGAATCAATGAATTAATAAAATAACACATAGTAGTAATAATAATTAAAGTTTATTATTAATAATAGTAATAATAATAATAATAATAATTAGATTAATAAGAAAAATATTAGAGGCTTAGGTGCTTATTCCTTAGATGCATCATATGGTAAATAGGTTGATCCCTACCATAATCAGTAATGTGAGATGGAACAAAAGAAGAACTAGATTCAAAGAATAAGATGAAACTCTAAAATTTATTAGGAAAAGAAAAAAAAGAGAATCTACATGTCCGTCATTTAATTTGTGCAAAAATACTAAATTGGCTTTTCATTCTTCTATCTGCTTATGAAGTAGTCCAAACTTATTATTGGTCTATAATCATGTAAAAAGGGAAATTTTTAAAATTAAAACAACCAAAGGACAAAACACTTCTTGACTTTAAATAAAAGGATTTAACGACTATTTAGGAGTCACAGAAAATATACAAATATATAGCCATTACATACAGCTCTTAATTTTCATGTCCTATCATCTGATACTATAATTATCACCATAAATTTTATGCATAAAAAATAAGAATTTTAAAGAAACATGGAGATTAATGTTATTTTACTATTATTTTAGTAAAACTAGTTTTATTATAAAGTGATACCACCTGTATAGGTATGATATATACAACACTATACAACACATTTTTGAGTTTAAAGCTGGCAATTATTTATTTATATTATTTTTAACAAAATTACACATTTATTTAATTATTCATTTTTAGCTCAGAACTTGTTTTTCCTAATGTCCTAGGTACTTTTTTATTAGTGGAGTCTTCAAGTTCTCTGTCTTGATAGTAATGAGGAGCTACTTCACGTAGCCATTTACTTTCAATCTCTGTAACTTGTCTCATATATTCTTTAGTAGTTAATACCAACTCATGGTATAAAACCCATCTTGGAAGCTCTTCAAATAAACTGCTATTTGGATGAATAATAACGGTTTGATTATGTTTAACAGTGCGATAATGACCTTTTGACAGTCTTGCAATATGATAAAAATAACCAGCAGTTATGGCCTAAAACAAATTATTAATAATATTAATGTTTAATAAAAATATTCAAAAACACAAGTATCTTGTATAATTTGTAAAAATAATAATTGCATACTTTTCGAATATTAACAGTTTCAGTTGGATTTGAAACTATTTCCATTTCAACACGTTGCATTAAACCAACTAGTTGATCTCTAACATCTCGAGCTCTACGCATTGATCTATGTTGAATATAATTTTCATAACACCAATTTGTACTAAAATCTGAATTAGCCCATTGGTTATAAATATTCAATAAAGCTAGATGATCACCACCTTGTGAAAAAAAATTTTTTCGAGCTGTATCGGCTAAAATCAATTTATCTTTGGGTCTATAAAATATAGCACTATTCACATTTAACATTGCTGCTATGGAAGCAATTTCTTCTGAACATTTATACCTGAAATTAATAAATAAACATTAATTTTTTTCTTTGTTTAATAGAATGTTTCAGAATAAGTGAGTACTATAAATTAGAATATTTTTTTATATTTAGATGGGTTTAAAATAGTGTTAAAATAAACATGCTATGAAAATATTTAATAGAAATTAAATATCCTTACTTTTCGGAAGCTAAAAGCATTTTTGCCATCATTGGATCTAATGGAAATTCAGCCATACGACGTCCTAATTTGGTTAATTCTCCCTTGTGATTCAATGCGCCCAATGCATAAAGTTGTTCCAATGCAAGTACCTTTAAAAGAAGCATATTAATTTAAAAAAAAAATTACTACATAAATAGCATTAACTTACCAGAGTTTCATGCGGAGGGGGATCTAAGAAATCAAAATGTATTAAGTCATGAATACCAAGAGCCTTCAACATCAACACAGCATTACCCAAATTAATTCTTTGAATTTCTGGAACTGTATTGTCTTCAAGTTCGCTTTTATAGGCCCATGATGTATACAAGCGAAAACATTTACCAGCAGCTACTCGACCAGCTCTCCCAGCTCTTTGATTAGCACTTGCCTAAACCATTAATATAAAAAAAAATATATATGAAGAAACTCAAATCTAACTTTAAAAAAAAATTTACCTTTGATATTGGTACAACTATTAAAGATTCCATGCCTGTACGTGAATTGAAATTATTTTGTTTACAAAAACCTGGGTCAATAACATAAATAATATTGTCAATTGTTAAAGAAGTTTCTGCTATATTGGTGGCCAAAACAACCTAAAATATAATTCATTATTTTATTATTTAACAATTCAATTTATTTCCTATGAAAAAAATTATAAGCATTAAAAATTACTTTTCTAGCGTTGGGAGGTGTAGGTTCAAAAATTTTGGCTTGCATTTCAGTAGGTAAATTACTATAAACTGGTAATAAAATCAGTTCTTTGATTTGAGAACCAAGTCTACGGACTCGTTCCTGCAATAGTTCATGACAAGTCTCAATCTCTTCTTGGCCAGTTAGAAAGACTAATATATCTCCAAGAGGTTGTGTTACATGTATTTGTAATATAGACACAACACACGCGTCAATATAATCCGCCTCAGGCGCTTTTGTGTAATATATATCCACAGGGAAACGCCTTCCTATAACAGACATCAAAAATAGATTCAGTATTTACACATTAAAATCATAAAATATAAACAATATCTACCAGGTATTCTAAATATAGGCGCATCGTCAAAAAATTCAGAAAATTTTTGAGCATCTAAAGTGGCACTTGATATTAATAGTTTTAAATCTGGTCTAAATCTTATAACATCTTTTACTAAACCAAATAGAATATCAGTATGAAGGGTACGTTCATGAGCTTCATCTACAATCATCACACTATAAGACTGTAAATCTGGTTCAGACAAAAACTCTCTATGCAATGTTCCATCAGTCATGTATTTTATTATAGTACGTTCTGAAGTGCAATCTTCAAAACGTATACTGTAACCAACCTAAAAATTCAAGTATCAATAAATTAATATGTATTACTTTTTCAAGTATAATGAGATTGTTTACTTCATTTCCAAGTTTAACAGACATTTCCTCAGCTACACGAGCTGCAACCGACATAGCAGCTACTCTTCTGGGTTGGGTACATCCAATTATTTTGTTATTTTCTGTAAAGCCAGCTTCATATAAATATTGTGGGATTTGTGTTGTCTTACCAGAACCAGTTTCACCTTCTATGATAAGTATCTAAATAAAATAAAATAATTTATATTGTAATTAATTTTATGAAATGATATTTCAAACTAAATTATTACTTGATGGTCTTTAATAGCTCTGATCAGATCTTTTTTAAACTTATATATAGGCAAACTCTTTTTTGTCTCTTCTATGCTGAGTTTTTTCTTTTGTTTTTCAGTAATTTCATGCTTTTCCTTAAAACAAAAATTAAAAATACAATAAATATAAACTATTTTGTTAAAAGGTATAAACATACCTCATCTGTGCCAGGTAAATTTGCAGTTTGAATAAACTCTATTTGATTATCAATCAATAATTCATATTGTTCTTTTTCTTGTCTTTTAGCACCAAATTTATAAACAGCAGAAGACATTTGTTCTTCTTCCCATTTTTGTTGTTCAGTAATTGGTGCTTTATCCACTTCCATTTCATATTCCATTTGTTGATCTTTGATATCTTGAGGCATCCGATAACGTTGAACATTTTCAAGTTCTCTAGCTTTTTCATGTTCTTTTGCGAGACTCAATAACTTTTTTTTGTGTTCACGATCAAAAATTTCACGTTGGGTTAAACTAAATAAAATTAATTAATTTAATATTTTACAATTTATACCATGTTTTATTATAGCAAAAACTTACTCTTCTTTATCAAATAAATATTCATCGTCTATGATATCAGCTTCAAGTTCAGTAACCTTATCATCTTTTCTTTTTTCGAGATATTTTCGACGAGACTCGATACGAAGTCGAGGAATAACCATTTCTTTCTCACGTTCATTTTCTAATTTTAATCGTTTTGCTGCTTCTTCATAAGCTTTTTTATCTAAGCAATTAATAAATCATAAAAATCATAATATTTGTCTAGCAAATAGATATTATACCTAGATTATACATTGGATTAAATCAAAAATGGTTTATAAATACAGCATAATACGCTTATTTTTTTTTTTTTTTTTTACATTAACTAAATGATTATTTTCTATTAAAATAATTTTTTTTAATTTAATTGTATACTTTTTTATTATCATCACTAATAATTATTAAATACAAAAAAGTACTATTATTATAATTATTATATTTAAAATTTATTTTAATACATAAAATAAGTGCTTATCAGAATTAAATAAATATAGATTCACAATACCATTCATAAATGATTTTGTAATTTAAATAATTATCAAATAATTTTCATGATTAATTATTTAATATTTATTTTGAATTAATATTGCAGTTCATTAGTAGGTATTTAAAATAACATTTTTTTATATTTATATAAATTAGTTATTCAGAAGTAAAAATTTTATTTTTATTACATTAAATACATAAACATATTATATTAATTATGTAGCATATGTTAATTATAAAAATTAAAATATTCATACAATGCATTTGGACCCAACTAAAGTCTTATCTGTAAATAATCTCAGAAATTAAAATTCCAATTCAAATCTAGATTTTTAGTAAATATAAATTTATCTATTATAAATTGAAGCTAATACTTATTCTTTACTATGTCACAATGTGAAAAAACTAAAAGCAAGGTTTCATTTTAAGAGTGAATTTTATGTTCCGAAATAACAATTTAGTTATGTTCTATAAAGAATATTTAAAATTTTATTGAAAATAACAAATTTATCTATGAGTATCTATTATTGTAAATTAATAATTTTATAAAAGAATGAAAAATCTTGATTAAACATTGATTTAAGTTCCCAAACATTTTCTAAACATTCCAAAACACCACCGATTTTTCCAAAGCATAAATGAAACATTTTTGTTATGTTTTATTTCTATATTCTTGTTATTTTTATATTTTTCTAAGTTCTATCAAATATTTATTTGTTTTTTTTTTTAGAGCATCTTAGATAAAAGTCAAATTTTTAATGTCAGTGGCAAAGAGTTGAAATTAAAAAAACCCATTTTAAATCCAACATTAAAAGTTTGTTTCTTGGCAAAAAACCGGAAAGGTTACTATTAAAATCAGATTGGTATACATAAATGCATTAATACGTTTTGTTTACAACATTAAATACTAGCTGGTAGCTAGCCGCTACCCCTAACTTACCGCACAATATATTATTGAAATACACAAATAAAATTTATTAAATATTGGATAAATAAACCTCCAATGTATAAATCAAGGGATAAATCATTGATTTCGTAATCTGTTAATAGTTTAATGTGTTATTAATATATATATTCATTAGACTTTCAATAAACTTTTATTATGTACAAGACTTACCTGATCGAGGAATAGCAATATTACGAGTTCTGTCCTTGTCTTTTCTTTTAAGCCTTTCGGCAAACTTGTCTCGTTCTCTGCGATCCTCATCGCTGTCACTAGAAACCATTGTAAATCTAAATATTTAACAAAAATCAATGAAGTCTAAACAAAATGTTTAGTAAAAAATTAAATTTTTAAACGTACAATAGCGTAATGCTTATTGTTTACAGTTTATACTGATAAGTGATACCTTTAGCGGCCAAAATTGTTATCTTATTTTTTGTCATATTAAACGACATATAGTGATAACACTGATAGCGCGCGCATAGTTATTCTATTCAAAATTATTATTTTCTACCGCTTCCAGTTACTATAGTACATACTATATAATTTTTTAGAATTTCCTAGTTATTATTCCATTTCAAATGTTAACATTGACTAACTGTTCTAATAAAATAGCATGAAAAGTTTTTATAATATTTAAAATAAAAATTAATTTTACATTTGACTTGCAGTAGGTACCTAGTACCTTCATAGTATTTTAATAACCAAAGAACACGCCATTTTGCTGTGTAATACCTATATTTCGAATAGATATTTTATAGTCATGAGGGTAATAGATATAATAAGACTCTCCTTACTATAGTCGTATTAAAATATTACAAGTATAAATAAATCCAAATGTTTTTTTTTAAATAATATTGTGTTAATAACATTTTAGTACTAATGTGCGAAAATAACACTAATTTTAAAGTGGTTTCTATTTATGTTCGAAATCTTCTATTTAATAATAATTCTATTCTTAAGATAGAGCTACACATGCTATATTTTCCAATTGCACAACTATTTTATTAAATATTAAAATACTTTTACAATTGTTCACATAAGACTTCCAATTACTTGCAACACCTAAATGTATGTTTTTAACACTTAAAAGATCAAAAACATATCTACAGTCAACTAGTCAAAAGAATAGCTTAATAAAATGGATTTTACCAATACTAACAAAATATAAATACCTATACTGGCGTTGAAGTAATTAAATAATTTTCCAAAAATCACCTAGAAGAATGCAATTAGATGACTGAACCAAATAAATAATAATTAAATACTAAAAAAAATGTATTGTACAGTTATAAAAAAATAAAAATGTATAATTAATGTAATTTATCATATCACATTTGTTATATAAAACAAAACAGTAGATAGGTACCTACTAAAGACTATAATACTATTCAAGTTTAGGTAAGTCAAATAATTATTTTCATACAAAATATGAATTCAGTTTAATGTTAAAAATTACTTTTCTTTTTTTAATTCTTAAAAATAATAAGTTAATAATAAAAAAAAACTTAACTAAATTAAAAATCAGTTATTTTTTTTTAATAAGATTTAAATGATGATGTATAAATCTTATACATCATTTTTATTACTTTATATTATACTTAAGTTGTACTCGTATTGTCTCCATTTTACTTATATAAAACATAGCAAAGTTGTGTTTTCAGTAGAATCGATTTTATGTCGTTAACTTTAATATTAAAGGCAATTTAGGATTTACCTATAATAAAACATAAATATAAAAATATTATTAAAGTATCACCTAGGCTTTTATTGATACTTTTATTTTAAATTGAATTATAAACATTTTAGAGTTTGAATATTTTACATAGCTATAACTCACTTAAGAATAAAAACATCATTAAAAGCCTATGTAGATACTAAATTTGTCTATTTTAAGTTATACAGGATACATAATATTTTGGCGATTTATAACTAATTACAACTTATAAATTATAGTTATAGTGAATAGTGAAACACTTAAAAAAACTTAGTATTTATTGATTTGATGATTTTGTAATAAAAATGTACTATGAAAGATTTTTATGAAAACAAATTAAATAAAAAAATATTTAAAATGGAATTTATACAAAAACCAAAATTTGGAAATAAATTATTATAAAAATTGCTTTGTATGTAAAATCAAATACAAAAAGTTTAATTTATGTATAGGTAATTAAATCTTATACTTTAGATCTGAATTGCAATGAGATAGGTACTTTTTACATACTTAAATGTTATACCCTATAATTTAGCCTGAACACAGATTTGTACTGATTAATAGAATGCTAGAATTCAATAGATACAATGGGTGCAATTTTCATATTTGCAATATTCAAAGCCTCAAAGGAGTAAGCTTAGCCTGCAATAATATTCCATTAATGAATACTTATCTCTGACTAATTAATTTTATGCTGTTAAAACTAATATATTTATTCATTACAACTATATTTTTTCTTAAAATGCCACTCTCAATTATCTTTATACTTTTTCTATATATTTTTTAACTTTCTTTATGAGTCTTATAAACTGTGAACTAAAATCATATTTAGTGTTCCTGTTGTCTTAAAGTATCCTCAAAACAGTCAAATCTCATTGAGTTTTCAAATTTGACAGATAAATAAATCAATTATTTTCTACATCATTTTTGCTTTATAGGCTTTCTTTTCTCGTTTTTTTTTTTTAATAGAAATTGCTAAAGTAGGATAAAACGTTGACATGACCTCTTTTTTTTTAAATTTCTTACAATAGTATTTAACACAATAACGATTACAGATACAGGATAGTTTCAGTACCTATTTAATGAAATACTGATTAATACAGATTATCATATATGTTAATGATAATCGTTTACTTGAGTAATAAAACTTGATATCTAACTTGTATGGTATAATTAGTAAAAGCAATAGGTAGTTAAATACCTAACTAAATTAGATTTCATGGTTGGTACTTTTTTGTACACGTATTTTAAGACTTTTAAGTATTTAACACAAAATTGTCACAAAATAACGATTAGTTAATACAGTTGTCAAAATATAAACTCAAATATTATCAAAATTTTTTTACATATAAAGGGGAAAATTAAATTATTGAGAACTGTCTGATCTTAAGTATGGCTCGTTTAATTACATATCATTTAAAATGAATTCATTACTTCCCAAAATTAAATAATCAATCACACAATTATTATTTATTAATTATTCAGTTATCAAAAATCACACAGAAATACAGAATACAGATCTTATGAATTATGGCATATATATAAATATGTAACACCACGGGTTAAGGCCTATGATGTAATACAGTAACACGATATCAAAATGATAACAACATTATCATGATATCATCAAATTTTGAAATTTTACTCAAAAGTTTTATGACCGCTCGTGGAGTGAAATTTATTATGATTTTTCGATTGATTAATTGATGTGAGCTATAACATGAATAAATGCCTAAATGCCTAATATGATATTATATTAATTTACATTCAATCGATTTAATTTCAACGACAAAGTTATGTAGTAATCAGTCGTTTATGCTTAATTATTATAGTGTCATATGTATTAACTGAAATGATTAATGTTGTATGAAATACTAGTGCTAAAATGAATTTACTGTTGTTAGCAGAACTATGTAAGTATAAAACAAATTTTCAGTTCTTTGATTTGATAAAATATGTTTTGTTTTATCCCTTATTGTTTGATTATTAATCCCATAATGTATATTGTGGTCAAATAGTTTTATTTGATAAGAAAGATATGTGTTTTCAATAATTTGTACATAAAAATATTTTACGAGTATACTACAATTGTTGTTGAAATGAAAAATGTCATTTTAAATTGATTTAACAATTCATTGTTGAAAAATCTAAATAATTGCTAGTAAATATAAACAACTACACTGAAAAAAAAAGCAACAAGCTATAATAATATAACATTTATTTTTGTTTTAGATTTGGATTTTCAATTTGCAATTCAAAATAAAGAAAGCTGAAAACTCTAACATTATTATTTCACAGTAAATAAATGCCTTTGAATCTCATTTTATTTTTTCTGTTAAAATAATTTAAAATGATTTGCTGCCCAAATTTAAAAAGAAATTTAACTTTTCGTATCATATTTTTATTACTTATATCATTAGTAATAGTGTACAATTTGAATTTTCTTATTAATATTGATCAATTTTTAAATTCATCACAAAAACATTTAATTTCTTGTTACTTTGAAGAAAAACATGATAATTCTTTACCTGAATTAAATCCTAAAGAAGTAACAAAGAATAGTATTTTCTTTGTTGAAACATCATGTAACCATAAAAACGGAATTAGTTTAAGTTTAAGACAAGGTTGTGCTATAGAATCTGCAGCAAATTTAAATCCTAATTTAAATATATTTGTATTATTTGTTGCTCCTAGTTATATAAACAATGAATCTGATATTATTAATAGATTTAAAATGTATAAAAATGTTAATTTAAGGTATATAAATTTTGTAAATTATTCTCATAATACTCCATTGCAAGACTTTGTAGCCTCAAACACTATATCTACTAGTCAATGGCCAGTTTCTCATACAAGCGACTTACTAAGATTTTTAACATTGTGGAAATTTGGAGGAACTTATTTGGATCTAGATGTAGTTCTAATGAAGTGAATACCTTAATTTGTTTTTAATAAGTAAACATCTTAAAGGTATAAAAATAATTTAACTATTTATTTATTGTTTAGATCTTTAGAGGGCCTATCAAATTTTGCAAGTATTGAATCAAACACATCAGTTGCCTCACTTGTATTGAATTTTGATGTTGATGAAATAGGAAGAGCAGTTGCAAATACTTCAATCAATGATTTTGCTTCTAATTATTGCAATAATGATTGGGGGTATAATGGTCCTGGTGTTATTACCAGAACACTTGAAAAAATCTGTGAAACTAATCTAGTGAGTAGATAAAAAAAAAATACATTAATAAACTTAGTTATCTATCTTTATTTAATGTTATACTTTAAAAATGGTTTAGAGTAACTATAGGCTGATGATTATAGTTATAAAGTTTCTCTAAGCAGTAAAATTAGGTATTTAATTGAAATAATATTTCTTCACTAATCTCAATATGTTTATGCTATTATATACCTATGCTGCAATTATTAAAATTATAATTCCTATGAACGTATTATTTTTTTACTATATAAATTAACATTATTTGAAAACTGAAGCTTGTAGAATACATAATAAATTATTTTTATATTTTTAAATGAGATTTAAGTATAATTTTAATAACCAATACTCATTGTAAAAGAACAAAATATGTTAAAAATATTTAACTTATTAATTATTTTATACTGTCGAGTGCCAATAAATTATAAGCTTACTATGTGATGACTACTTACATAATTTATACAACTTATAAGTAATGATATTATGCTATTATTAGGTGTTTTAGTGACTAAACGTCAGTTTTATTTATTTGTTATTTTAATGATTTAATTTTTTCAAATTTTAATGGAACAACATTTTTCTAAGTCAAATTTTGATTCACTTGATCAGATACCAAAATTTAAAGAAAATCAAATTAAATTTATAATATTATTAATTAATTTAGGTTGAATACTAAAACACCTCTGTAGCTCTAGAGTTTGATTTGAAATTCACTTTAAGCAATTCATAATAATAATTATTGTAAAATAAAATATTAATAATTAAGATTTCAATTACATTGCTTAACTTGAATACAACTTTTAATTTTATAGGTAACTGATATGAATAAGCAAAAATGCAAAGGATTTACGGTGTTAGGGACAGAAGCATTTTGTCCAATAAGTTGGACTGATTGGCAGCTATATTTTAATCCAAACACCAGTGATGAAGTAATGGTTAAACTTAAAGACAGCATTGGCATTCATGTATGGAATTTACATAGTAAACATACTGTTATTAATATTGGTTCAAAACAGCCTTATGGCTTAGTTGCAAAAAAATATTGCCCTATTAATTTTTCTTTGGCAAAATATGTATTTTAACTTTTTTAAAACTGTAAAAAAAAAAAAATGATTCTTAAATTTAAATTGTTGATATTAAAACATAAAGAATTCAGGCTTACACCAATAATATAATAATCTTGTTGAATATTGTAATTCTATAATAATTATTTGTACAAATTTAATGTAATGTCTTTTTTGATAAATACAAATATAATTTTATCTTTATTTTAACCTTCAACAACTTAAATTATAACATACATTGACTGTAAATTTTGATGAATATTATGAGATAAAAATTATTTATGATTTAGTTAATAATATAACCTATTAAACTTATCCTTAAATCTTTCTGGAACCATTAAAATTGAGTATTCTGAAATAGTTACACAAAATACAATCTCAATAAATTATTTAATGCAATTTGGAAATGAAACCCATTTTATTTAAATATAAATTAAACTATACTCCACTTATATTTAGAAGTGACCCAGACAGCCAACTCATGTGCATGGATGTGTGGACGTGACATAATTTTGTACATTAGCTACTAATGGTTGTTGATTGAATAGGGAAACAGTTATGTGTGATCTGTTAATTGCCAACAAAAATTGATCACTTCTAAAGGAATGGAATATAATTATATGATTGCTTACGCCATATTCAATCAAAATACTTATACATTTTAAAGGTTTTAAAATAATATTATATTATTAAACTCGCTAAATTTATTTTCATTTTTTCATTTTCCACTTTTTGTTTCGACGTATTGAATGTATATATTTAATTAGATTTCTTTGAGTGCATAAATAAAAGTACAAATATTTGTATGTAGTGAATAAAATGAAAACCATTCAGTTTTTGTTACAATAAATAATGATAGCATATAGTTAATTAATATTATTCTTTGTTAATTATCGTAATTAACTAAGTTGAAAATAAAAAGAGAATTATCTGATAATAAAATAATCATTATTAATTTATAATCCATTTATTACACTATATTGACATAAATATGTCTAACTAAAAAACACAATTAATTAAGATATATGAAGAACTTGATCTTACATTAAACCAATATGTCATGAGACTGATACACATTAAAATTTTAAACAATAGGTCTGATACTCTAGTTATTTTGCCTTGAATGTATATAGTCTTTGAAAAGCAATAATTTTAATGTAATTTTTTATTGGTCAAGTTATCAACAACTTTATTGGACAATTGTGGTAACATTTTAATGTATTTCGTGAAACATTGTGATGCACATCCTTCTGCTTCTTTTATATATTTATTCATCTAAAAACAATAAAAAGTTTATTAAATATAATATGGCAATTTAAAGTTTATAAATATATTTTATGAAATAGGTATAATAATTTTAATAAAAAAAAGTTTAAAAATAAATTCAAATTTACTAGTAAGCAATTGATTTTTTATTTACATTGTAGAAAAAAATTCAACTTTAAATTAAAGAAACATATTGGTTATAATGTGTTAATATGCTCTTCATTAATAATGTAAATGTATTCAATTTTTAATACAATAGACGTAAGATAATGCTTGGTAAATAAATGATTACTCGCCAATGAAAGCATAAAATTCAGCTATTATTTATTATAAATAAAAATTAATTTGTAAAAATTGCATATAAATAGTATTGTCTATAACCAATATTAAAATAAATTTTTGTTTTTATAAAAATGTGGAGAATATATTTTGTTAATTATTAAATTTAAATGACAAATATAGATTAATTTTTAATATTTTAAAATATATTTTTTTTTATATCGATCATTTTATATAAAATATTATATTTGTCTTGTTTAAATAATGTATCAATAAGATTATTTATCAAGGTAGATGTGTCATTAAATGTAATAACATAATATGTTAATAAATATCATTAAGAAGTGATATCACTTGGAGAAGTTATAAAGTTATATTAATAAAATATAAAAATGTAAAACATTGATAAATTAAAATGCATGAGAAAAATTTTAATAGAGCATTATGGGACCTGTATTTTTAAAATAAAAACAAATGAAGATTAAGGCAATAAATAATACTAAATTTTGTAAGAAAAATAATAAAATGAGTTAATTAAGTAAAATGGCAAATCCCCTTCCGTGTCACCGCCACCGACCTGCCTAATACCGAACCGAAAATAAACCGAACGACGAGCAGATATATAGATAAGTCTCAAATACTCCAATACTTTATCGATAACATATTATATTATTAATTTCGATTTTAAAATAACACGGTGGCATGTGTCATTTATGATTCTATTATAATGCTTGCCATTAATCGACAACGCACACAGGCTTTTCCAACAGGAGTAGTAGTGGGGGTAGGTAGTGCCAAAAATACTGTTTATAAAGAGGTATTGAGATGAACAAAATATGTCAATATAAATATTGGTGGGTTTTTATAACATCATAATGCAGGGGTCGGCAACCCGCGGCCCAGGGCCGCATGCGACCCGCAAGGCAATTTTTGATGTCCCGCACAAAGGTGGTTAATTTTTGTGTTTTACTTTTGTTCAATAACATTTTTTATATAATTTTCAATATTATATAATTCTTTTTCCTTTATAAATAAAATCTAATCTAACCTTTTCATAATAGCAATACAATTATAAATATTATATCATAATATGTAATTTTTTTTTTTTAATGTGGCCCTTGATGAACAATTGAAAAAAAAAATGGCCCGTGTGGTTAAAAAGGTTGCCGACCCCTGCCATAATGTATATAATAATGTTATAATAAGAAGTAAAAATAGTAATAATAAAAATAATACTCATAATAGTAAAACATTTTTTTCAATTACAGAAAGTTATAATTTTTTAGGTATATTTTATTTCAACATTTCGTCAATTAGAATTGTATCTTACAATTTGTCTTCAAAATATTAAAATAAAGTAAATTTTTGCTGACTTCTGATTGTTAAAATACATGGGAAACCTAGAATAAACTTATCTAAAAGCAGCCTATAATAAATATAAAAACTGATAAAATAAAAGTTATATTAAGTTACACAAAAAAACTGTACATGGGCGAAACCGGGTTATTCAGATTTACAGTATAAAATAACATATGTTAATTATAAACATGAAATGTACTTAATAATTTAACTTGTATTAAAAAACAAACCTCATTTTCATTCCGATTTCTGTCACTAGGCATTTTGTCCATAACACTATCACCGCAATCTTGTACACAACGTTGTATTCTATTCTAAAATTAAAGTAAGCAGAATTAATATATTTTAAAAATCTACTACTATGAAGATGTGATGGTAAAGTGCTATTCGATTAAATTATTAATAAATTATATTATAGAATTTTAAATTAGTAATGGTATTATTCAATAATATTTACGACAGAAAAAATAAACAAAACTTGTTTTGAATAAATAAAATTTGATTTTAACTTGGCATTGGAATATAATATTATACAATACAGTATAAAACATATATATTTATTGTTTGTATTAACTACTTAGTTCATAAAATTATTCAAATATTTGTTTTTATTATGGCTGCATAAAACTTAATTTTGTATCAAAATACATCAGTGTTTCCTAATCTATGGATCACGACCCAACATTGTTAAGTGAAATATTTTGTATTGACTGCGACTCGCAGTATTTGTATATGAAGTTCAAAATAAATTTAAATAAATGTATGAAAATAATTTTAGCCATAAAATGATAAATGCTGAAGTTATATTTTAATAATATGAAATATAACTAATATTGTAGAATTTAGGACATAAGTTTTACAATGGATATCAATTTATTTGTAGTAAATTTTGTATTATTTTATTATGATTATAGAAAATGTTTTGTCTTATCGATAAGAGTACTAATGACTGTCGATGTGGTATCAGTAAGTTGACAGTCTATAAACATACTCTCATTTTTGTGATTTTTATATTTTTTACTTTAAATATACTTAACATGTTTTACCTTAATAATTTAATTTAAAAGTAATCTTTAAATTAAATGATACAATTGCTTATAGTAAAAATAATTATTAATAATTCTATATTATCACATCCTTTTTTTTTCTTTTTTTTTTTTTTAGTGAGGAGTCACATATTACCCAACAAACAGTAAATTTATGGTTAGCTGTTTTTATTTAAATATTTATTAAATTATGTTTACTTAGAATAACAATTCAATATTAGGTGTGTATTGCATAAAAACTAAAAAGTTATAAGCAAAGTTGATAAATATTAGTTAAAATTATAAAGTATTTAATGAATTTAGAGCAATAATAATTAAAACAGAAAAAACAATTTTTATTTTAACTATTACATTATTTTATACTTTTAGTCATTTTATATGCATATATTAACAATCCTAATTAAATTAATAATTGGGTTCAAATTAAAAAAGGAAAACAATACCTGCCACTTGTTAAATTCTTTTTGAACATAGTTACGAGCAGCTGTTATTTCCTTTGCGCAATTTTCATTACATACTTCCAGTGATTCAATGTTTTTTGAAGGGTCTCTACAACATTCAATAGCACATTGATGCATTTGAATCTGTGGAAACAAATTGTAGTAATTATAATTATAGCAATACACATTTTCATACAATTTTAGATTTTAATATTAAAATGGAAATCAAAAAATAAAAATAAAAGAAACACATTCCATTTCTTATAGATTTATATTATTTTCAGTATCATTTATATAAAAAAAAAAAACAGAATAATGGAATAAAATTATGACATAAAATAACTGAATAATATAATAAATATTACTTCAAAAGATTAAAACGTTAGTACTTGATCATTAACTAATAGATAAATCTATTATTATTATTAAATGTGTAAAAAAATTATAATATATCTTATATATATATATATATATAGACTATTGAAAACAATACTAAAAAAATGTATAGTGGCAGTAATAGTCTACTAACCAAATTATAGATAATGACAATCATCAAAAACTGGTACATTAAGTCAATTGTATACTAGCATTTGGTATGTAAAGAAAAGCTGTCATATTTATAGCACATGTGTATCTAATTAGTTTAATAAGCATTAAATAATTTAATTTTACTAGCTGTGTTGAATAATTAATGTGCACAAGCCTAGAGCAAATGAAAGAGGAGTTTTTATCCAAATTAACTTAATGTGATGTATTTAAACAAATTACATACAACATAGTAATAGTATTACTACTTTATATCTATAAAGGTATTAATATAGATTATTAGGATAAAAAAAATTATTTACTTGTAAATCTCTTAAACATTTTCTATCTATATCATTCAAAACATCATACACTGCACTCTGCATACGACGTTGTTCTTCTTCCATTTTGGTAATTATCCTGAAAAATAAATTAATTTAATAATATTACCAATAACTTACTTGTGCATAAATGTATAAGTTTATTTATGATTTATTTAATTAGGAACAATTTATATTTTTAAAATAATAACAGTAACTTATTATTCTTTATTTTGATTAATTTATAAACGTATAATTTTAAAATTAGATATCATGAAGGTAATTCTAAATATCAAATTTGCTATTTATTAGTCCATGTTATATCAATGCTTTGCACAATTAAAGTTTTGAGGTGGATGGTTACACAGTTTATTGTTAGTATTGAAATAAAAAAATAATAAGAAAAAATATACATTTTATGAAAATATACTATTAGAGTCATAATATAAGTTACTAATAATTAAGTAAATTAATTGAACCCAATACTTTTTTCTTTTTTTTTGTGGTAAGTAAGTAGGTATTTTATATAATAATATATACCTTATACAAAATTACAAATTTTAAATTCTTATTATAGAAGTTATTTAAAATTTAGATACTTAATGATAGAAATTATATCATATATGTTTTGAATGTCCTATTATATTAAACCTATAAATATAAATCTAGGAAAACATAAGTAGTGAACTCATTAGATATGTTAAAATCAGATCCATAATATACCATTATTGTGCTATAGCACAAGTGGGCCCACACCTCAATTTTGTAATAAAATACTAGAATTTTTTAAAACCAGTCTGGCCTGTTAGTGGTTTCCAACTGAATGTCTACAGGCTCATTTAAAGTGGTCTGTTGTATCAAATTATTTATGTTTATACGTTATTAATATATAAAAAAATAAGTTATAGAGAGAGAAGGTAGAAGCATAACAAATTAGAAGTAGTAATACGTAGAGATGGAAAATTTACAAAAATGGTCTATGTCTACAATTAAGTTAGAAAGCATTAATTTAATATGAAGAACTTCTTCTATGTCTTAACACATATTTAAGACTCTTTATAGGTTAGGTTGTTAAGTACTCTCATAATTTCTTAACAGACTTCAATTATTAATATATAACGATTATTATTAATATGATGATGGCAAGTTAATATTTGTAACTTACGTAGATGGTTAAATAAATCAGTTACAGAAAATCCTTTACAGCACAGTCATCGAAAAGAAGTATTAATAATATTAAATAATATTCAGCGCACAGAAACAGGACTAAATGCAAAGTTCATATTATATCGGCCGGCAAATAATGTGATATCGTAATTGATTTCAAATTTGTTAGTTGTTACCACGATTAAAGATATCTTTAATCGTGTTTGTTACTAACTCGCAACCGCGATAACCATGCTCGCTACTATCTTTCGACTGTTATCACTTATCGCCACTTAATTTTTATCACGTTTTTCGGTGTTTTCGAGATAAAATATTTAAATATACATTACAATTTTACTTATTAGTTAATAATTAATAATTATTGTACCTTTTTTTACGTAAATTGTACATTTTATTTTACTAATAAAAGAATGAAAAATTCCACTAGTATTAACCTTAATACTATTATTTTTTTTTTTTTTTTAATTAGGCAAATGTTTGTTATTTATTTTTGATTTTTATTGTTTAGATTAGGTATATTATGTTATGACATTAGTCACACTCACATTACATTTGTAAAGTTGATTTTTGTTGAATAAAGTGCATAATTTATACTTACATGTTATTTTTAATATTTAAACAAATTTTAAACTAATAAAAAAAATTTAATAATAATTTGTAGTCTTGGTTGAGAATCTTAAGAATATTTTAAATATTTCAAATAGGTAAGTTGTTCTAACAGCTATTTAAAAATATTTAAAATAAGTATATATATCTATATTAAAGACATAATTTTTTAAAAACATTGTAATAGTTGGCTGTGTCTCAGTATTAGAGGTGTTATGTTTTGATACTTTTTTGAATACTTTCTATAAAATTGCTTCTGTGCTCAATTAGATTGCAGTTTTACTAGTTAAATAACATGATGCTTCCATATTTTATCAGATATATTATACATTTGTGCACATATTTTTTAATGTAAATATTATTTTTCTTTTTCAAAAGAGATAAATTATTTGAAGTGAATTCTGATTAAATATTTTTATTATGTTTCTTTGTGAATAATTAAAATATGTTAGATACATTTTAACAGGTTCAAATCGACGTATGAAATTAAATTGTGAAAGAAATTAGATGTTAAAATGAAAAATAAAGGTTTTAGATATAATTAATAATGTAATTCCAAAATATTATTCAAGGAAACTTAAAATATTTTATTGTTATAACATTTTTAGAAAAAATTCAATCTACTGTCTTATCATATAACTAATATCAAAATAAATATTGTGATTATAATATAAATATATTATGAAATATAGAGACTAAGTATCACTTATCGGAATCATTTACTATCAGAATGATGCCTAAATTTAATATTTTATTTATTTTATTCTATAACAAATAGTTTTTATATCATCTGTAATCTACCATAAAATATTAACATATAGTCAATTCAGAATTGTGCATCAAGACATAAAAAAAATAGACTAAGAATTAGCATCTAGTATTAGATTAACCATAATTTACTTAAAATAAATAAAACATATTCCTTAAATATAAAGTTTTGAAGCCACTCTTATAACCAAATCTATATTCAAATCATTATGATGTATAAATGTATGATCAATGGTTTTGCAGTTACCACACAATTATATTTATTATTAGAGTTTTTAATTCAAAAAATCCTAAATTGTTCAAGAACTGACAAGTATAGGAAATATTTGAGCTCTTAAATGCATTTTTTACATACATATTTATTGATGATCAAGTCTAAATAATGTTGTGTAAATCTAGTCTTATTTTTTATGCCTCAATGGGCTTAATGCATATGAGTAAGGAGGTAACAATATGCAAACAAGAAACCAATTAATATTTTAAGGGAAGATAGACAGTTACCTTTAGTTTTACCTAGACACCCATTTCAATTACTATATCACCATACCATATTTTAAATGTGTCCACAAAGAAACTTTTTAAAGTAGTCAACTGCATTAAATATCATTTGAATTTAATACCTTAACCGCACAGGTTATAAAAAATCAATTAAATAAATAAGTTGGTATTTTTGGTAATTTATTTTAATTAAAGTAATTAATTATGTATAATTAAATTATGCTAATACCTATTAGTTATTGTTATTAATTTTTAATAGACATCTATCATCTTTGCAAGATAATTACAGCTCAATAAATACTGAAAATAATCATTAAGTTTTTAAACTGTAATTCATTACTATTTATAATATTAATGAATTCAAGTCTATTTCATTAACTATATATATTATAGGTAGGTATATTAATTTGTTAACATCAGATAATGATTTAATTTGTTTGTAACAGTAGTTGACAATAATTTTTATAAATTTTCATTTGTATAACAATTACATAACTTATGACATATATTACATATATTATGTACTTATATCATTTTATTACTCAATTATAATAAATTAACTAATTACAAAAATAATAAAATAAAAACTTTTATGCTACAAGTTAGATTTATTAATAAGTAAAAACCATAAAAAATTAATGTGACCAATATTTATACGAATGTAAATTCCAACTAATGAGTAATGACCCAGGCACCCAGTTGTTAAAACCTTTATTCTTAGTAGCAAAAATAAAATAAAAGTTTTGATTTCAATCCAAAAATATTTCGCACTTATCGTTATCACAGCGATTCATAACAATACCTAATGAAATATTAATTATATGCTTATGCAACTGTGCCAACTGCCAAGTTCCCTTAATTAGTTATGTTGGCTTTAAACATATGGAAGGTAGCTCTATCCATTGTCTATAATCTAAATATTCTAAATTGTAAACAATACCGTCATTATGATTGTGTACTAACTCTTTTCGTAATTGAATTTTAAATTTGTAATATATAAGTTTTATTTTATTAGTTAGAATAATATATTATAGGAACTATCATCGTAAAATTTCGACCTTTGGATTATTGATAACGATGGATCCATGTTATCTTCTCATGGCAGTATACATATTTTCCTACGCGTTTGCTTAATTTTATTATCAGTAAATAATTCAATATTTATTCTGTTAATAACACATCATTTTTATTTTGTGCTTAAACTGTAAATAGTGTAAATTAGTTTAGTGTTATAAGTTGTAACAGTTTAGTTACAGTTGTAACTCTAATTACCGAGAAATAATAGTATAAATTCACATTTGTGATGAATATATTACTCGTGTTTTTAGTCGTTGAATTAAACCAGGTAAGGTCACTTAGGAACAGAGTAATTTTTTAGTACATACTCTCTTCTTTTGTTTTTAAATCTACATAAATATACATATGACTTAACAAACAGTGCCGTTAGAATTCAACCAAATCATTAGTTTCTCCAATTTTTTAAGCCAGAATAATTTTCAAGAATAATTAGTAACAAATATAAAACTTGTACCTTTTGTTTATCCTTATAGGTATGTTTTTTATTAAATATTATTTAATTTTAATGCCGTCAATTAATTAAATAACATAAATTATAGTTTGAAAGTAATGCCGTCAACTGGCAACGAAATGGAACAATATATATGTAAGAAAATATATAGTTTAATTCTAAATAAATTCCTTTTTCTAAAGTAACCATATAATACATTTTTATATCAATCAATTTGTCTAATAATATTTACCAAATAACAACAACTTGGTGCAGGTCAGTTACATCTTTGTCAAATCCATTACACAATTAACAATGAAAGGTAATAGAAAAGTAATAACATTATTTATTTTATTTTTATATAGATATAATGTTCAGTATAATATTAATGATAAAATATAGAATTAAAGCATACAATTTAATAATAATACTAAGCAAACAATAATTTTGATTCTATTAGTTCTGGCTGTGTAGTTTTTTTTTTTAGTATTAACTATAAGTGTATATGTTAGAAAGAATTTTTTTTTATTAAAATTATTTATTTAACAATATTCACGTTTAGATTATGCTGTAGTTATAACAAGTAACAAGTATTAAACATTTATTGAAAGTAACATTAAAAACGCCAATATTTTAATATTTATTATTTTCAGTCCTGTTGTTTTTATTAATTGAAAGAAATGTAGGTATTTTTTTTAAATACAAATATACAATAGTTATTTAATTTGTTTATATATAATTAATTAAAATGTTTAAAAATTTAAAAGCTAAATTGTGTTTATATGAAAAAAAAATGTATTTTTGTAAGGCCGTTAGTATACTGAGGGCTTCTAAAATTATGATTTTTCCTGGTTGTATATTTCTTCCCGTCCACGGCTGGACTTTTATTATATATAATAAATATATATTTATTATTTCAAAATAAAATAATATAACTGGTAATGTTATGTTTCAGAAAAGTTAAAAGTGAACTTCTATAACATTTTTGGAACAGAATTAGTAAAAATAGTACCATGTAAATTATGAATTAAAAATTGTTTGTACTTGACAAATTTCTATACTAATCGTTATGGCTACTGTTGAAGAAATTGATGAAGCTGAACAACTTAGATTTTTAGCATTAAAATCTATGGTGAGAAGATCCAGCAAAAAGAAAAATAGTTCTAACACTGATACTGATGATCAAGATATATTATTACTAAGAGCAGCTGCGCTAAAAACAATTAGTAATAAAAATTCACCAAGTAATAAAGATGAAAAACTTATACAAAATAAATTAATTAATGAAAAAAAAAGAAGTATAAGTAACCAGGTGTCTCCATTAGCGAGTAAAAAAAACATCAAATTGACTAATATGAAAAATAATAGTTTTGTAAACAATGTTACAAGCAATACTAGTACAGGATATGTCACAAGTGTTTCGAAACACGATCCTGAACAAGGATGTAAAAGTAAACCTAAATCTGAATCAAACATTGAATCCCAAAGTAAGTCTGAAGATATCAATAAAGATGATATAAAAAAAATTATAAGAAATGGCAGTATTCAGCTTTCAAATTTGGATTCTGAAAAATTTAATGAAACTATGATATTGCATATAACATTTAGTTCATCAGAAAGTGATGATTCATCAAGTGAATGTGACGTAGTTCAAAATAAGGTATATTAGATATGAAATATTGCTAAATACATATTAATGTTTCTAAATATTTGTAGGTAAAACAGAAGAATATTAATAATGATGCATTAAAATCACCAGTTCCAACATTAAATGTTGTAGATAACCGTGTTAACGCTGCTAACACTAAATCATCAGAAGATAATAAGTATGAATTGTAAATTTTATATTAAAAATAATTTTATCAATGTCTCTATTAACTATATTGACAATTTCCATCTTCATTTATTACAACTAATACTCCTGTACATATTGTTGAAAGTCTTATTTATTATATTAAGTTCTTATGTTATTGCTGATTGAAGATCCATGTATTCCAACATTAAGCAGTTTTATGGATTTAAACATTAAATACCATTTTTACATAAATTATTATTATAACTTAAAAATTTTCATTAAGTGAATACCATTCAATTTTTTGCCATTAATTGTTTATTTAAACCTAAATAATCTAGGATTACTTAGTTCATTTAGCGCTTATTTGGTTTAGTAGACAATAACTGAGCAATTTAATTTATAGCTGTACCTTTAATAGACTTTTTAATTAACATTTTTTTATGACGAGTTTAGTTTGTACAGATATTTTTAGCTCTTTATTAGAAAAATAAAAAATATATACCTTTGATAGTAATCAATAATGTACACATATTTTAGTTATAATAAAAGAAATAATGCCAGTTATACTATAATATTATATTTTTATATTATTGCACTGAAAATATACTTTTTATTAAAACTTTTTTTGTGTACCCTTGGTTTTAGTCAAAGTATTTATTTTTTTTAATTTTTGTTTTATTTAGTTACAGCACAGTAATTATAACAACATAGTTTTATTTGCATGGTAAAAGCAATAGTTTTAAATATTTTTGATTACAATAATAAGAAACTTTTATCATTTTTTGAGGTGTTTATTATAAATTAAATATATTTTATATACTAAAAAGGTGGGAAAGTTAATGAAAATAATTAACTTGGGTTAAGTTAAGTTAAAAAAACAACTAAAATTGATAAGTTAGAAGTTAACTGTCAATAATTCATAAATTTAACTTGATTAAAATTTAGTACGGAAAAAAATATTAATTTTACTCAGTTTAAAAAAAGTTTAACTATATTTTTTGAAATTAGTATGTAAATCACTTAAAATGTGACTGTGTCTTTCTAATTTACAAAAAAACAATTTTATTGAACTTTTATCATAATGTTCATTCTACAGTATAAATACCTTTTTCCCTTACATGAGTATTATTTATTAAATTACACTATACACGTCTCAATTTAATAATTTAACAAATATTATTTTATTTTTTTTGTATACTATAAAATTGAAGATCATATAACATTAAAACAATACAATTTATAATTTTATTAAAAAAATTTCTAATATCAACTGCAAAAAGCTAACATATTTCAACTGTCAATTAAACTACTTGAACTCATAATTTTTGATTAGAAAATAAACTAATTAGTTAATGCTCACCTTTAAACTTCTTAGTATTTATTTGATGGCCTAGCATAGTACAATGGTTGGCTTCAGTCATTAGCATGTTCTGAGGACAAATATCGAATGGTGGCTAGCTTCCGATGGTCACCAATTCAGGTTTTTAGTGATAAATCCTCGCCACATATTCATGTGTTCTAAAACAGTAATCTCCCCCTCAGTAAAAACCGACTACAGGCTAACAACAACCATTGATGTTGTAGCCTAAAATGTATATACGCATTTATGAAAAAATGTAATTATTTGTTATAACACCTTAAAAAATATAAACCAAAATCTTTTCTTAGTAAATATCGTCTCATTATTTTTTTTATTATTAATTTTATATTTTTTAATTTTGTGAATCATTTTATCCTTTATTTTTTTAGTTTGTAACAATATAAAATTATGTTATTACTACTATAACGATAAATAAATATTATTAATATATGATAAATAACAAAACATTTATTAAGAAATAATATTGTGTATAAATAAATTGCACTTATTTAATGTAAAAGTCATAAACTAGGTTTAATGGAATTTGCAATATAAATTAAGGGCGAAGAGATTGTCTTTGAAAAATATACCTATTGCATTTAATCCCCAACATCATATATTGAGTAATAAAACAATTTGAATAAAATTAATACATCAAAACTTGTAAAACTAATTTTTACATCTACTTTTTTAACCATTTTTGCAAATAAATAATCGTCTATTATAACATTTAAAGATATCAGCAATAATTTATATTTTATCTGACAACAATAATAATGTAATCGTTTAAAATTACTTTTTTCAGATCAAAAATGAATAATTGTATGCAACAAATATGTGGCCTTATGAGACATTGTGAATCAGAAATTGAAAAACGTAACCAACAAGTGGAAATATTACTACAAGCATATGAAAAATATCAAAACTATAGTGAGTCATTGCGTTCTATACTTCAGTCCATGAAAACAGCATGTGATGAATTATCACTATATAGCTCAGCTGAACATTAGTATCACTGCAGCCCAAGTTCAAATTTTTACTAAATAAGAAAAAACATTATTTAATTGTTATTATTTGTGTTTGTTTTTATTTGGTATCTTAAAATATACTACTTGTTATTAATTTATTATCCAATTGCATACAACTCAGTATGGCTGGGTACTATGATTAGCAATATTCTTTAATTTTTGTTGTATATGACTAAAATGTAATAAATGATGTATAGATTCCAAGTTTTCAATTTTAATGTTATTATCTTATGTATAAATTATTCGAAATAAAGTTAGAATTTCAAACATTTAAAATAATCAAAATATTGTAAATTATATGTTAAATAAACATCAAATATCCATATATTAATAGCCATAGTCTGTGAATAAATAGCATTAGTTAAATTATTTCATATCCTATATTTTTTTATTATTGTTTTAAAGATTAACTGAAAAATTAATAAAATCAATAAATACTTAACAATATATATACCATATTTCAAACTATTTATATAGATTATACATAAAAAAAAAGTAAAATCAGCTTAGTTACCTAAACCTGTTTGAATTTTTTACATCACGTTATTATCATTAACAATAAGGAGGAAATTATAAACCGTTTCGATAAGTTTATAAGCATTCCAGGTAAGTTGTCTTGGATTGTTCAAGCAATCAAAAATTAGTTAAACCACTTTATCTTTCCGCTCAAGTCTCAATACATTGCCATTTTATTTATACTAAGGGCAGCTGGGCAGCTAAAAAATTCTTTTCATTTTAAAAATTAACTTAATCTAGTATTTTATATAATATGTAAATTTCCAATAATAACTATAGCTTCCTATAATTTATACTTAGTCTTCATTTATTTTCTTAAAGAACTAGTTTAAATTAGAGTTCACCAATTCTTAAAAATCCATTTTTTGTTCACATTAAGGGCCAAGATCAAAATGTTATAGAAACTTAAAGCTCAATCATAATAAATCATATCATTAATGTTTTCTTTAAAAACTTATATTATTAGTTATATAAGAAAATATCCATATGTTACATGTATTTGTTAAATATATAATTTATACATTTGTTCATTGGTCCCTTATTAATAATTAATTAGTGTGAGACATCAATAATTTATCGACTTACCTGTTCGTTGAGGTGTAAGTATTACATCTTAATGTAAATGAATCATAATTGCTAGTTATTTAAAATTTTTTTTTTTTAATTAATGCATATACAATATTTTTTATTTGAAAACATATTTTATGATCTGTAGTGTATGTAGTTCAAACTGTACATACATTTTAAAGTTACTTATTTTTTAATATTTATATTAATAAACTACCTAAGTACTAAGTATATATTTACTAGTTTAAAAATGTATCATATATTTATCAACTATTAAGCACTCTAACATAGTTAATTATATTTACTTAATAAAATTCAATCATACTATAAATAACTTAAACTTAAAAATTGTATACATTTTTTATCTAGTTTCTAAGAATAGAAGTAAAATTTTTCTTGGTCTTTAGACGATGATCATAATGAGTTAACATTAATAGTCATTGTTATAGAACAGGGATGGGCAACTCACAGTTACTATAGGGCCAATTTTTAGAAATTTAAAATATAGCGGGCCAGAGCATAGAAAGCAAAAAAAAAAAAAAAAGGTCATTCAAAATATACATTTTAAATAGCATTTATTTTGTTTATAATGAAATAGGACATAGGTAATACAAAAAGCGTTATTGAAAATAATTTAATTAAATATTTAAATATAAATAGTTATTTGCAGTTTAGTGAGAGTTTTGAGGATGTGTGGCTTCTAATGACAACGCGGCAAAATCGACTTCTATTTCGGACGAAGAAACACGAAGTAGGTGACTTAATGTTTCATCTGTAAGTCGATTTCTATGTTTTGATTTAATATGTTTCATGTTTGAAAATGTACATTCACAAATGTAAGTAGTTCCAAACATGGATAACATTTTTAATGCGAACTCTCGTAAAAGTGGATATTTTAGAGTAGGTAATTTTTTCCAAAAGCTTATGTCAATCTCTTTTGTAGATAATAATGATGGATCTGTTTGCAACTCACACAATTCTAATTGAAGTTCAGCATCTTGCTTTTCAATTTCAACTACCATTGGATTATTAAACAAATTAAACACGAACGATACGAAGAAACTGATATAATTAAATAGATCGGTACAAACAGCTATGGTTAAAATCTATACGTATCCATACGTGTGTATATACCTACTATAACTATATTGTGACATTTATACATTTAACAATGTTCAATACCAGATAACAATTATTATATCGATAAGATAGACTAGATAGAGTATACACTATACTAGACATTATAGATTATAGAGTATAGACGATAAAGTTTAAAATTGTATACCTATACCTAATGCAATTTGAAAATGTAGCGCGGGCCAGATAAAAAAGGCTCGCGGGCCGGATGCGGCCCGCGGGCCGCCAGTTGCCCACCCCTGTTATAGAATATAGTTCAAAAAAAAAAAATATTGAACTGACAAGTTTTTAAAAAAAGGAATAGAAAGATACACAAATAAGTATTATAAAGGATATCAATTATATTTTTGATTACTACAAAAATTACACAAAAGATTAACTTATTGGATTACGGTTTACTTAATAGAGCAATACATTAAAGGACAATTGAAGGATAATCTAAATAGTAAATAAATACATTACTATAACATAATAAATTAGATGTAATATATTATGCATTGGTTTATATGTATAATATTAATATGACGTTATAAATTAAACAAAAATTTAATTGTTGTTATTTTATGCAACTATCAATTTTTATAAAAATTACAATTATATGTTATTGTATTACTTTATTTGTACAATTAGAGCTCTAATAGTTAAAATAAGATCGATCCCCAGGACTAGAAAATTTAACAATTACAAATGTTATATTACTTATATGAGCAGATTGAAAATGTATATTATAAATGTAGATAATATTAAATTTCTTTATTAAAAATATAAAAATGTATATATAATACATGGAAAGCCAATGAGAAAAAAGTGTTGCTTTTTTATATTTTTACATACAGTATGTTTCAATAATCGATTTTATCTATTTAATGTAAATATGATAAAGGTGTAAAATCAAAACTTGTTGACATGAAATATTATTATTAACATACAAAGCTTAAGAATAACATTACAGTTTAATATAGTTTATATACATATTAATATCATTTGATTTTTTTTTTTTTTTTAAATAATCATAATAATTTAGAGTAAAATAATTTTGATCTTAAAAATTAACTGATAAATATTTAATACTCCTTAATCAAAATGATAATATAATATGTATATTTATTTATAATACTTACTAATTTAAAAAACATAATCAAAATAAAATATTGTTTATTTGGAATAATAATTTCATGACTTATTAATTAATATGATAGTTAAAAATACAGTAATTACTAAGTTAAATACAAATTTTAAAAATGCTTATTACTGGGGATATATTTTCTTTCTTTTTTTTTTTACAAGAACAAGACTTAAAATTTTAACATGGTTTCAGTACAGTACAATTTGTAAATTATTTAAATCTATTGATTTTTATAGCATAAATCATAATAAAATTATTAAATAGAATCCATTTATGATTATATAATATTAATAAAATTAATAAACATTGCATAGTAGTCTTGTTCTTGATGAACTCCATGTTATAATTTTCGTTGCACTGTAAATAATTACTTTAATGTAAAATTTAAAATGAGCAAGTATTTATTAAAAAATGAAAATTTATAATTGTAACAGATAATAATATTTAAAGAATATATTATGACATGAAAATACTTCATTCTATACTTACTCATTTAAATATATATAAATAAATATAATTGATAGCAAGTTTTATAATAGTTATGGGAATATAAATCATTTGAATATGATATTTTACCTGAGAATATTAGAAATAAGATAGTGTAAATAGAAAAATGATTAAAGCAAACAGTATTTTCTAAGCTAGTTAGTTTTAATTTTTATCAGAATAAGTTTATGTAAAAGTAACATAAATATAATATATCAAAAGAAGTTGTTTTAAGTAGTATCACATCTGTCTTTTATTATCATAACTGAAAGTGTGTATCCACTTACATTTTTTTAATAACCATGGGCAACTAAATGATCTCCAAGTTTTTCAACTACCAATGCAGCCTGTTGTGGTTGAACCGGATCTTCATATAATGATACAACAATAGCTGTAAATTAAAAAAAAAAAGTGATGAATAATGATTTACTGATATATTACACAGATATTTGATAAATGGCAAAAAAGATAATACAATCAATTTAATATTTAAAAATGTTATATTAGTTCTAATTAATAGTATTGTTTATAATGATAAGTTATGAAAAAAGCAAACTAAAATAGCTTTTCTGCATTCCCAAAATAAATAAATATTTAAACTTTTTTTTCATATTGTTTAAAAACAATATTACATCTAAACATCCATGAAAACGTATGGGTAAAATGTTGACATTAAGATAATCTGAGCATATATTATATAAAAGTAGGCAAAATGAGAAGAATGAAAATAAGTAAGGAAAATGAGCATCATGTAGGAAGTTGTTTACAAAAAAAAATAAAATTTAATATGATTTAAAGCAGTGGTTCTCAACCTTTTTATGCTCACGGCACTTTTATCATAACTATACAGTTTGATGGAACACTATATTAATGAAATAATAAAAAGCAAACAAAAAAAAGCATTTTTATTTTAATCATTATTTTTATTATTAATATATTATGTAATTAAAAATTAATATCTAATAACACTATAGGCATGTTGCATATTCCACTGCGGCCACGACATATCTACAGCCAGTTCGCAGCACACAAGTGTACCGCAGAACACCAGTTAAGAAACACTGGTTTAAAGCATGGCTAAAATCATTGTTAAGTAAACAAATTACTATTAAATGATAAGAAAAATAATACACAAACAGCATTCTTGTTTTTCCAGTGATACCACAATAAAAAAAATGTAATATTATTAAATAATACATTTGATCATTTCATGTATTATTTTACTGAATTTTTAAAATTAAGATTTTGAGAATAATAATTTATTAAATTATAACATACTTTGTTGAGTCTTCACACAATGAGCCCCAACTTTTCCTTGTTTGGCTCTTATCACTTTGTCAGTGCCGGATAGATAAATATAGCGAACACTTGCCAAAGTAATGCCCGAAGATGTTAATGTATCTTGATTTTCAAAGCCTAGAGCTATTTTGCTCAATTCTTCTTTTGATACCTATAGAAAAAAAAACATTAACTTTAATAATCAGAACAATAAAATTATTAGTATTTTTTTAACAAGTCTTGAAATGAAAAATAAATAATAGTTTTATATATCAAACCTGAGTATATATATTTTTTATATTTAGTAGTTTAAGATTTTTATTGTTAGAACTTTATAATGTATGTTTTATTTGTTTTTAAAACATTTTAAGGAATTATCCTTAACATGTTTAATATAAATTTATAAAATCAAAGTTGGACAAGATCATAATTTGTGTGTTGCTTAGTTGCATAACTAGTGAATGCCTAAATATTAATAATATGGAAAAGAATTTATTTAAAAAAAGTAAAATTAAATTAAAATGCATAAATATTAAATGTTTTATTACCTACATATTAGTAGGTAACGACAAAAAAAAAAAAAAAGTGATCACGAAAAACACAAATTTTATCTTAAATAAAAAGTATGATAAATCTTTAACCACATGTCCTAAAATGTTTTCAAAACGTCTTAATACTTAAAATACAACAATGAAGAAGTCTATTTTTTTCTGATAAATCTAAGCAATCCAGGTTAAATATAATATCATAAGGTTTAATAAATATAGACTTGGAATGTACAACATTAAATTCAGTCACCTCAGTGGTAATATGAACAATACTAATCATGAGCTATTAAACTATTGATGTATTGGATGGCAAAAACTAATGAGACAATGGTGTGTCTCGATAAAAGATATTGACTTGAAAAACTACAAGCGAATGGCAAAATCAACGTATTACATCAAGGTCTACACACACTATAACAATTATAGTTTTACAAATACCACTACTGTCAATGTGTAGGTCTTTAGTCAGAACATAGTGGCAGCATAAAATATGATCTTTTGAGACACATGACTCAACATCTATTAATGTGAAAGTCAATGATAAAATATTTAAAATTAATAATTTAAATGAGTACATGTTGGTATTTGTGTTGTTTTAAGTATAGTCTTATCGTGGATGTCAAAAAAAATACTGTGTGTCTCAAAAGATGTGATAGTTCGGGTCGACACCATTGCGACGGGCACACAATTAACCTATAATTACTGTTTTTACTCACGTCAAATCCCTCGGACTTGGCCCACACGTTACCATCGTGACCGGCGATCGCGGCTTTGGTGACGCACCTGGACGCCAGTAAATGTTTGTCGACGTAATCTTGCCAGGACGACATGTTGAAGAAATCAGGGGCGGTTGCTTGTGCGTTGTTTACTGATGGTGTGCGCGACTTGGCGGGGGTGGTGGCCGGTGATGCGAAAAATGTGCGGAAAAGAAGACAGTCGGGAGAGGAGAAATGAAAAAAAATAGGACAGAAACGAGAAATGGGAAGTCTCGCACCGGACGGTGATGGCAGTGTCGTGTGGTGATGCGCTTGTGTTAGTGTGTCAGTGCATGTACGCGTTTGTGTGCGTCTGTGTGACGTGTGTTTGCGTGTGTGCTCGAGTTGGTCCATCTGCGCGTGCGTCGGCTATCTTACCGGCGCGTGCGTGCGCGTGCGAGCAACACCCGGCGTATAAAGTATATTATATTTTATACATAAAAAAGATTATTGGATGACGGGCAGAAAAAATACAACGATGTATATTGTCCTGCACATCGCGTCATCGGTGCGTATCGGCGTGTATCGGTGAACGCACCGCATCGACGCCGCCGTTTTTACCTCCACAGTCCACGTCATTGTAATTTGTGGCGCTCAAATCAAACACTCGACCGACTGCCTCAGCTATAACTGAAGAAATGTTTATTAGGATTTAGAACGGTCTATAACAACACATTTATCAATTATTAAAAATTACTACACAAATAGTTAAGCTGTGTAAAACGTATTGTCTCCGTCTTACATACACAACATATCAAAATATTAGCTGTTTTAATATTGTATTTTTACATTTAATATTTCAGTGTATTAACTCACTATGAAGCTCAGAGGTAAGAACATAAATAGTGTTCTCTTGTTGCTTTTTTTATGTTTTTATTTTAACCGAGTTATGAGTAATTTAAAAAATTAATATTTCATATAGTTAAAACTTTTAAACTTAAAAGCTTAAACACTTTAAGTAGAAATCCAACGAGATAACACAACCTAACCTTTAACTTTTAAGAGGAAATAACCACAATAGATATTTGTTTTTCCTTTCAGATCAATATATAAAATCAAAAATGTTATGGTTTTAGAGTAAAATTACTTATCTAACACAAAAACTTAAAACTATAGAAGATATTTTTGAGGATCAATACCATCAATTTTATATTCTATTTTTATTTAGTCTTATATTTTATTTTTATAAATTTAAAACAAAATAAAATACCTAATTTTAAGACAATATTTAGACAAACTGATAATTTGTGTAACTTGTGTGTACCCAAAAATATTATTCTTTATAATATTTCTAATAGATTATTTTACTCCAGGATTACTTAAAACATTAACAAAAATAATTGTACCTAGGCCAGAGAGAGAAAAACAATGGCACTGGCATATTCCTAAGTTTTATATACCTATAAGTACCTATTAATAAGCCAATTCACTCTAATCTTAAAGCAAACAATGCAAAATTAAAACTGTTCAAAGTTTAGCTGTTGAATTTATATTTTAATAGTTAGTAAAACAGAGACAACGTATGTGGGTGTATACGTTTTTTTAATAGGTACCTTACCTATGTCTTTTACATAGTAATAATATATAGTATTAATTAAACTTATATTTTATTAAAATCAATAACATATAGATAAAAGGAGATGGCTTCTTTCTAAGTAAAAAAGCTTGAGCATTTAATACAAAGTTTTTCGTAAGTTTTTTAACACTTAAAAATATCGAAAACACAATCATATTCTTTTATATTCATCTGATGTTCAAATTTCAACAACATTTGTTAAAATCACGAAAATACAAAAACTGTGTTAATATAATAAGTGTAAGATCACTAAAATCTTCAATTTTTATAGCTAAGACTTGATTTAATACATTATACAAGGTTTCTAATAATTATTTTAGGCTGAAATTAAAAATCTAAAAGTATGGAATTTATCTTATAGACATTTGAGGTTCAAATTTGAACGAAATTACATATTTAAACAACAAATTTAACAATGATAATTATTATGTCATAACTTAAAAATATTATTCATGAAAATTTAAAACTTACGAGAGTAAGAAGTTTTATGAATTTTACTACACACAATAATATTTTAAGAATACGTAGATAAATTTAATTTTAAGATTAATTTATATAACGAACCTATTCACCTCATTCACGCTATTTTCAGTTGTTTTTACGGTAAGTTTTTGACTCAAAAATTAAAAACAATAATCTACTATATGGTATAAATTTATATTGTCTAAATAACTAAATATTAACAACATAGACAAATGTTAAAATACAACATATAATTGTCTCTCTTATTTTATTTTTATTTGCCTTACTCCTATTACTAGTAGGTACGTCAAAATCAATATCTACTTATTATAATAAAATAAGATGGGTACCTACTGTAATAAACTAATTTAGTATGTGTTATAAATTATGAATTATAAACAGCGAATATGTTAGTTATTACTTTAAAAGTGTTATGATGAAATTAATTCGCATTAGTTTTAGCGTTTTGTACCTACAATATCTGATAGATATTTACATTGACCAATTTCTTCAGTCATGGATATTTATACTGCCGAATTCAATTTAGTATTTTTTTTCTTTTAATATTACCTTGGGTTGAATTAATGTTTAAAATAACAAATTACATACTTCATTAGATAAGTACCTACCTTGTTTCAATATATTAATAATTATTATAATATTACTACTTATTAATAATGACGTAAACCAATAAGTAAATGGACAGAATGAATTGGTTTGTCACCTAGATTAAAATAATTTTTCTAAAAATGAGAAAATCTAATGGTATATTGTAAATAAAAATATACTGTTTACGTAGTAAAAAAAGTTGTAATTATTAATAACCAATAAGTAATAATTTTTGAATAATAATTATATCAAAATTTGAACTTTAAACGTTTAGATATAAAAAAAATGCCAATTTTTGTGTTGATATTTTTAAATTGCTTTAAGAACAATTATTTATGTAAACTCTTATATAAATTGTGTTATATTATTTTGCTTTATGGCCTAATATAAATATTTTTATTTTACAATATTTTATTTATATAGATACTATCTTCTATCTAAGTACGGTACCTTATAAATATTTATATTTCTCCATTTTCCATTTGCTATTTATGTAACAAGATAAATTTAATTCCATAATAAATCTTAATTAACGACATTCTGTACCAAGTACAATAAATTATCCTTTTGTTAAATTATTTGATCTAATTATTTAATCTTTAATTTTAAAATGTATGATTTTCTTTAAGTGTACATTTCATATTTTTGGCGTGCATAGGCGCCCATTGGGGGGGGGGGCAAGACAGGGCACTTGCCCTCCCCTGGAAAAGAATATTAGGTACCATAATATTACCTTATTACCGAGACAAATTATTTGTTGAAATCACTTTTAAGATATGAAATAAATATAAAAATATATTCATTGTTATCGTATATTAACATCATAGATAGATCGTATTCTGTAGTCCGTATAACCTATACGTAAAATTATTTATCGCAGATAATTTGTGGTAAATCCATAAAGATCACAATATAGGTACTACAAATATTTTAACCTAACGCAAACAAGGATACTTTCATTCAGGATGTCATTTATATGTTTGGAATAAAACGAAGAAATTTGCAGTTCTTATTTACTGATACCGAATAATATACTTAATTATATTATTTAATTTCTATTTTTTTTAAAACTTATTAAAATTATTATTTATTTATTTATTCGTATGGCAATTATTATTAATACACTATATTATATATATATATATATATATATATTTATAAATAAATAAAAATATAACATGCATGTATAGTGTATACATTTATATGTGAAAAATAACATTAAATCTTTATTATCTTACATTCGAAAATTTTTTTATTTTGACCCTCCCTAAAATATTACCTATGGGCGCCCATGAGTGCTAAATCACTCAGATACAGATATTTGTCAAAAAATTTTAAGAGTAAGTAAATAGTACAAGATATCTGGGTGTTACCTTTGATAAGCACTTATGATAGACATTATATAGTCTAGGGCTCGGAAGTTGATGACCTTAAAAACAATAAAAAATGACTTTAAAAATGACCATAAAAATGGCAAAAATGTCCTAAAAAAATTACAAATATTAATAAAAATACATTTTTTTTTAATATTTTACTCTATTTTACTATAAAATTCAAAATATGACATAAAAATGACAAAAATGTCCTTAAAATAGGAAAATTAAAAAATTAAAAATATTTGTTTTATAAATATCTGTGGTTTAAGTTATCGGCATAATGGTCAACAAGAAACGATAAGAAATGAACTAGTGTGAAATCAGTAAAAATAACTAAAAATGTGGGAAAATGACCTAACAATCTCAAAAAATGACTTAAAAAGTAATAAACACCAAAAAATGCAAAAAAATGCAAAATAAAAATTAGTTATTTAGATTCACATACTTATGAAACAGATTTGTGTCTAAAAATTTCCAAAAAAAAATGCAAAATGCATCAACTTCCGAGCCCGTCACATTACATATAAATTATTTAATAAAGCGTTTACGTATAGCAGTATATCATTTTTATAAACTACAATCAATTCTGCCAAAGACAATATTCGCACTGTATATATAATAATATATTATGTCTTTTTATCAAACAGTGCTTCAATATGGTATTAGAATTTAGGGCTGTATAACTGAAAATATGGTTAAACCACTTAAACTGCAGCAAAATAAAATTATAAGAGTTTGTTTAGATAAACATAGTCTATTATAGTAGGGTCAACACTACAAAATTACCAAGAACTAAAAATATTATCAGTTAGTTTAAAATATAAAAAATTTGCCATATTAAGGGTTGTTAAGAATATAAACAATAAATTGGTTCAATAAATTAAGTACGATAGATTAAAAAAAAAAAAAAAGATGGGGCTTTAAATGCTACTGTTTCCTACACAAATACATCTTTGAGTCAAAGGTTTTTGGACTATCAAGGTCCTACTTATTTTAACTCATTAGATAGTGATGAAGAAAAATAGATATGAATATTGCTGAAACACGCGAAAAAATTGTAAACTGGTTATTTAAAAATATGAGAAAATGTTCTTGAATTATTAATTACATGTATTAAAATGTAAAAAAAAAATGTAATAAAACTAAATAACTCTTCATCTTCGCCACAAGCTTATTGGAGATAGATTAATCATTAAAGTGTATATGAGTATATGTATTTCTTTTTGTAAATGTAATTTTTTGATTTATTAAAAAAAAAATTACTGTTGTCAATAAATTGTTTAACATTTATTTGAAAAGTAAAAC